AACTCCCACCGTGTTCTCCTTGTCATGTTCTGGAAAAACGGAAAAATCCATAGACAATTCAGTGTGTGTTAATAATGGCCTGACAATTAGTATGAAAAAGGTCAGCCAGCATTTGACTTAATGATATATTGTATTTGCTGTCTGACAAGGTCATTGTATCGACCATAGAACTTGCGAAATGATGACTTTAAACGAAACTGTTGATATTCCTATTTCATCAACTTGCTTGTCTCGTTTAAGAAATTGTTCGTACGTAGAGTATGCTCTTTCGTATCGAATCAACTGAGAGACGTCAAGCCCATATGCAAGTGATAAGGATACATTGCTACATAAGTAAGGAAAGTTGATGATTGAAAAGTTGAAGTCATCACGTTTATCATAAAGCTTGGTTGTTAGATTACCATTAGAGTATTTTCTTTTTCTAGTAAAATATCCAAATATGAAACAGATACGTCAGACTCTCTGGTATATTTTATTTCAAGATATGTCTAGTCGGCATATGAATGGAAGTAACTATTGTTAAGTGATAATACGTCGTCGATATATCTAAATGTCGAGTTGAAGGCCACAGCAAGAGTTTTCTTCTTTTCATGTATAAGATTTTGAATAAATTCTGCTTCATATGCATACAAAAATAGATCTGCTAAAAACGGGGTCAAATTGGTACCCGTGGGAATACGCACAGATTGTTGGAAGACCTGTTCTCCAAAAACTTCATAGATAATTTCAATCAGAAACTCAAAGCATACCTCCAACGCCAACATCAGAGCAAATGCGTGCACAATCAAAACGTTTCGCAACAAAACAACGTTGCAAACGACCATTGACAAGGTAAGCAAATCCACGTGTTCCATTCCCATTGAAAAAGTAGCTGTCAATGATGTCAAAGAGGCTTGCCCCCAATTCATCTCGGGGAATGGCCGCAAAAAGTACCAAAAAGTTGTACGCCCTAAAGTCATTGACCTTGGTAAAATTTTGTGATTTCAAATTTTCTAAAACTCCTTGGAATTCCGTATATTTATGGCATATCTGACATACTTCTTAGTCATTTGCTAAGTATGACCTCCTGATATTCCTCTAATAAAAATTTTGTCTTTTAGAATTTTATATTTCTGAGATATTTCTCTGAACTCTGTGACTGCTCTGTATTATGTCCTTTAATTAATCTTGGTATGTATCCAATGATCATATTTATTCTTTAGGGCTACATGATCTTTGGAATATATGTCATTATAAAAATTATGTTGTGGACAAGAATTGTGCAATTAAATCCCAGTGACCTTGACCTAGTCCAAATGACAATGATGGAGGGTTCTTACATCTTTTGTTTTTAGTATGATCTTTTTAACCCACATGAAGGTAATAACTATGGAAAGAATTTTTTATTTTTAAAACCTATGAGCTTGACTTTTCGAAATAATTCTGGGTAAGGATCAGGACATACCCCTGAGTCGCAAGCAATCTAATTCTCAGGCTACTGTTTTTCTATTTCAAAATTGTGGATAGAACAATAATTTGATACTTTAGTACCCTGTGACCTTCACCTTCTCAAAAATGACCTTGATACCGAGTCAAGGCACTTTTTGGATACAAAGCTTACTTTCTTTTAGGTATGAGCCTCTGAAGTTTCTTGTTTACAAAATTTAGTCAAGACAAGAGATTCGCTCTGTTTATTCTTGTCAAAGAAGTTACGTAATGAAATCTTTTAAAGGTCATAACATTTAAAAATGAACATATTAGAAAAAAATTAGTTTCATAGATCATCTCTGGACAAACAGATGGACAGGTAGACTGACGGACGAATAGAAGGACACGGTAATTCCAGTACATCTTCTAAGCTCCGTTTGTAAAGGGTATAAAAATCTAAAACTATAAGGCATGTCAAGATGACTAGGAACATTTTCTAACCTAAGACCTCAAAGATGATACCATATCATACATCAGCTCAGTCTTAGATCGAATGTTTTTTTTAAGTTCGCCTATCCTCTAAATAACATTTAAAACAGTAAAACACCATTATAGAAAATTTAATATATGTTACAAAATTTAATAATTATGATGTTATCAAGAAGTGCACTTGGCATTTCTGATTAACAGCAGATTAATGTCAAGAAATTACCACCCATATTGATGTTTGTATTTTTTTCTGTGTTGAACTTCTTTACACAAGTACATGTGCTGGTGTGACCAGTCGACAAGGATGCTTTTTCTTCTTGGGCACCTGTTTGTTTTTTGTTTAACGTCCCTCTCGAGAAGTTTTCACTCATATGGAAAAGCAAATGGCACCTGATCCCATCTCTGCACATACACTTTATGTCAAATACCTGTGCACCTCTGGTGCGTTTCCACAGGATTCACTTTTCATCTTGTTAGCAGGATTTAGGAGATCACCATTTACAGAAAATGTTAAAAATAAAAATTACTTTAATTATTTTACGTTGACCAAGAAACGGGACACTCCATTATTTGTGCTCCTGGCCAAGTATAAAATTGTGTCACTCTCGCGTCTATAAGAGGCAAAAGGCTATACCAGGACGGCTGCGAATTTGCTATATGCATCACTTTATAAATTTTAATTTACTGAGTGTGGATAAATACATATTTTATAATAAGATTTCTAGTAGTTGTAAAGTTTGTACTTACCTCCATCCAGAAAATTAAACATTTACAACATACTTGAATTTCTGTATTATCTTCAATTCCTTAAATGGAGTTATTCCTACACGCGACATGAACAAAGGTTCAAACAATTTTGAAAGAAAACGGTAGTTCTTTTCACACTGAATCACATTCAAAAAATGCCCATTCAATTTATTTTCAACAGTACAAAGCATTGTGTATGTGGAAAACTGAGTGCAGGATTCATTTAATACAAAATGAACCCCATACTCTTTGATTCAGTTTTTCACAAATAAAAACGCCTTTACTGGATGAAAACAAATGCCAGTTTATTGAATGTAAGTCACATTTAAGTATAAGTATCTGCTTTCAAAACTCTTAGTTATTGTAGAGTAACAGATATTTCTGTAAGATTTTTTTTTTCAGATTTATTGCATGATTCCTTGTATTTGTTTTTTCGAACACCTAAGTATGAAAGCTCTTAAATGCTTGTTATAATATAGAATAAAATAAAATCTTTTCTATAGGGCAAATTAATAGAATTTAGAACTTTTAAACATGATTTATGTTGCTGTTCTATCAATTTATTACATTAAATTGGCATTATTTAACTCATGGCATTGCCATATTAAAAACATATATACAAAAATATGAATTTAACAAATTAAAAGCTGAGCTGGAAGATTTTTCAAAACAAATGACCAACAACTCCACTCGTAGGCCTGAACGCTGAACACAGGAGGCGTCTTTTTTTTTATTTTGGTGAAAGTTTACTTACTCATTGTAAGCATGCATGAAACATGTTCACAAAAAAAAAAAAAAAAAAAAAAAAAAAGAATTCGAAAATTCAAAAATTTGTAATGTACATGTATTTTAATAATTAGCCAACTTACTCCACCCTAATTGCAAGAGAGTCTTCTATACGAGACCCGGAGAATGGGTGGTGTTAGATTGATTGATTGTATGTTGTTTTACGTCCCGTTGGAGAATTTTTCACTCATATAGAGACGTCACAATATACCGGCGAAGGGCTCCAAATTTAGACCTTTATTCGACACTCAGTGTCATTGAGCAGTGAAGTTTCTTTATCGTGCCAACGCCTACCATGACACGGGGCCTCGATTCTTAAAGTCTCATCCGAAGGACCCACAATTTTCACTTCAATGTGCCGAGTGCTTGGCGAAGGAACAGTTGCTACCTATTTTTTTTTTATCGACTTAGGTCAGTCGCGGCCGTTATTCGAACACACGACCTTCCGATAACTGACTGAGCTACCGTGACGGCAGGGTGGGGTTAGAGGCATGAATTTCACAATTTTGCTAGATTATAACATGCCAGCACTTTTACTGCTTGATGTCTAGGAGTAAAGAACTAGCATTTAAGATTGCATTGATTTTAATGGTTAAAGCCCCGTCCTTCAAGTCCTAGCTAGGAAAGACGATGAAATTCACAATTTTTACCCCCGTTTACCCATAAATGCTATATGCCAAACTAGCTGAACGGTTTCAGAGACGCCGAAAAGGTTTTAAAGTTTTCGACCACTTTACATGTACCATTCACAAAGCACAATAACGATGCATAAAGACGGACAAATATAAATAGTCATAGGTCACCTGAGTAATTCGAGTAACCTAAAAAGTGAAAATACCAATAAGGAAACAATGTAAATTTTTACATTATGAGTTATTTGGACGCAAAAAAATTACATCACCTTTTCCACCAATAACTTGTTAATACCGCAAAATAAATGTGATAATAATAAAATTTTGATATTTATAAAATATTTTTTAATTTGCTTTATGGTATATCATGTTATCTGTATATTCTGACCTTTAACAGAAAGAAGTGTAGTCGAATGTGTGCTAGGTTACAAAAATCATTATGAATTAAATCATATTTGTACTCTAAAATAATTAAATTCCTTGAAAAACACACACAAAAAACTGGAGCATTTGAAATAGACGAAATATATGTACAATAAGACAAATCACAATCAAAACGGGTCTCAAAATTAAGATCTTCATAAATTTTACAAAAGCAGTTGTGTCTCTTGAGAAATCTTTAACGTGAATTTCAGTAGAAAATTAGAATTTGTTTGTTAAGTGAGAATTATTGGAAAATGTCCACATGAATTTTACGTGATTTTTTAAAACAAATTTCTTTTTTTTCCTTTGTAAAAGCTAGCAGTGAGAAATATAACTATTAAAAGTACATGTATTTTTGTCAGAAAAAATTGAAAGAATGATAATCATCTGAATAAAACAAAAATAATTACTGATATGGGAAATCAATTTTGTGGGAAAAAAGCCAAAAGGATCGGAGATAGAAAAAGCAAAACTCGCTGGAAATATATCCAATCACAAACTTAGGAAATCAGAGAGAGAGAGAGAGAGAAGGTACTAGCAAGATTTATTCACACATATTTATTTTATTTTCTTTGGTGACACTTGTTAAATAAGAATATTTCTTCCTGTAAAAAATGTGTTTACACTCTGAAAGAAGATTCTTTCGTTTATGGACGGTGTGGGATTTGATAATCATATATTCTTCCGTTCATTTCCAGACCATATTCTCCAAATGTATACCTCTCGTCAGCACGTACAGCAGTAACCAATACACTGGTCTAGTAAATTAAAAATCGTGCGTTAATTAATGTCACACTTGCTACTTGAAAAAAAAAAAAACAGAAATATTTCGATGTTTTAATTGCTTGAGTTCTTTTCTTACTATATTCTTTGCTTTCACCACACTTGCTGAATGCCCAAAATATCCTTTTCCCTCAAGTGGAAAGAATGTTATGTTGGACTGAATTGAGGTATAAAAACATCAAATTTACAGGCATTATGTTACAAAAATGAGCTGAATTAGTAATGAAAGAAAATATCAAACATAAGAATACTTCAGTGATAAAAGAAGAAATAATTGAAATTAAACCCATTTTTTCGGGAATGTTCATAAAATGATGCTATGCATATTACTGAAAATAATAAAATTTTAATGAATTGAAGAACAATTAATAAGATACTGACTTTTGTGCATTTGTAAAATTCTTACTACGTGTCCGGGACAAGGTGTCAGAATTCCACAGAGGGGGTTCACTGTTCCATTTCCCCGAGGAAACGACCCACCGCCATAAAAGACATAAAATCTACCATCTTCTGCTGAAAAAATTCAATTGTAAAGCATGATGCGATGTAATTTGTAGAATTTATATGTATATATAGTATTTACTTTATATTCATTTACTTACACGTGACAAGTTGTCGCGGCCCAAGCTCTGTCCAGTCGTCCGACCTCATTGGAGCACCAATCAAAAAGTCATCTATATCGTCTCCGTTCACGTCATTAAACTAATGAAACAGAGAAAAGAGAGATGGGGGATTTACAGCATATATTTCATTCATTAATTTTTTCAATCAGAAGAATTCAGCATTTTCAACAAAATATTTATTGATTGTTCAATCAGAAAAAACTTAAACATTGCTTTGACGTATGATAATTTCATTTATAATGATAAATTGTATTTACTTGAATGAATGACCCGAATTGGCTGTATCTAGTATCTCCATAAAAAGTAGCAATTTCAGAAATTTCCCCATTTTTTGAGATCTTAAACAATATAACGGATCCAGCTTGTGTAATAATGACAGGAAAAGTAGCAGCTATGCCGGGAACGGAATCACCGGGGGCGGAAATGGCCAATATTAGGGAACCATCGCCATAAGGTCTACCAAAATCATTACAAAACCCGACCATGTCGAACTCATCTTTACCCGAGAGAGACAGATTTTGGAAGGAAGTCGTGTTTTTGGTGTTTATCAAAGTAAAGGCTCCTACGGCTTGTACATCGTCGACAGAAAACTGGCAGTCCCCTCTGTAAAAATATTGTTATTCACTGCGATATTTTGAAGTCTTTTAATGATTGTGAAGGTACCGTGTTATTAATTATGATAACCGGGTATATACCTTGCACATTTTCTGTAGTATGGCTGGTTGATCATAAGAACACCTTCTTTCCCCCTTATATTATGACCAAACCAACTAAAATTCTGGTAGAAAAATACAATTACTTCCGGATAAATCTACTGTTTTACAAAAATATAATATAACTGAATAATTCAGAAAACAGTATAGATTTGTAATTGTACCTGTTTTACATTTTTTATCATTTGAAGATTTTCAAACTCTATTACGTCATTACCTAAGAAAAGAAACGTGCTTTTTATAAGTTTTTAGAAAACTGTTATTAATTCTAATGCTTTCATATTCATGTTTCCATAATCCTTCATACTTTACAAGCTTCACTTACTAGGTAATGATTTATCTGCAAACAAAATGGCTACAGTTCCTTCCTGTGTCCCTGTGACCGAATAAAAAGGGGTACCTATCACGAGGTCTTCATGATAATCATTGTTAAGATCAACAGAGGTCATCGAGTATCCCAAGTTACAGTACTGACTCTATAAATCAGATCAATATCAAAGTATATTAACTGAAAATTGTCTAGCATCATGAATATATTGCATATCAGGAGTAGATTGTATAATTGCATGTATCACTGTCTATGAAAGGAAACAAAAAGTTGAACATATATATATATATATATATATATATATATATATATATATATATATATATATATATATATATATATATATGTGAAACGTCATAATGTGAGCTTCAGTTATATGAATCAAAAATATAAATTGAAATGAACATTTTTATACTTTATACATTCAACAGTAATAGCTGTATTTTTATTTCTGGTGTAGAAAGAGTTTACTGACCTTGCATGTTATAGTAATATTAGGCCCTTCGAATCCACTTGAGTTAAGTCTACCATAATAGATAAAAATCCTTCCCTACAGCAAAATAAATGGCAGCAGTTAATCAAATAATTTTAAGAATTTCGGAAGGTGTTACATTTGTAACGTAACATGTCAAACAAATTGACAATGAACACAAAATTACATTATGGCCATTTATGTCAGTATTTCCATAGCCCGGTGCCGCTACTACAAGATCAGTTCTACCGTCTACGTTAATGTCAAGGCATTCTAAAGAAGAACCAAACTGGGATTCCTTCTGCAATATAAATACACAACAAAAAGTCTTTGTTTAAATAGGTCGGTTTAATTTGGAAAAAAAAAATAGAAAAAAGTCAATCAAAATATTACCGAAGAAGGACCAAGCAAAATGTCGCTGTATCGTAAAGTTAGGTTTGTTAGGTCAATTGGAACATCAAATTTCCATGGCATACCAGTTTCAGATCCTACAAATTCTTTTAGCAATAAGAACAGTCTTACACATACCCAAGTAAATGATATGTAGTTAAAAAGGATCAAAAGCATTGATCAGTTTATTGGTTGGTGGTTGTACGCCACAACTCGAAACTAAATACATGTGTATCCTTAAAATAAAGGCTTTTCAAAAAGGTCCCACTTTTGTGGAAAAAAGAAGAAAATTCCCCTTTTTCAAAATTGAATAAATTTTATTTAGTCAATGATAAGGTGTACTATGTATAACCCTCTCAATGTTTACACAAAATCTCTTTTGATCCTGACCTTTGACTTAATTGGTACAATTATGAATAACTGCAGTCCCTATAGTGTGTGTTGCAGCAAGAGTATCTCGCGTACTCTATGATTGAAATCAGACATCAAATCAAACCTGCCAAAGGACAGCAAAATAATACTGCAGACAAAGATTTTTTTTTGCGAAAATTCACTCCTTGTTTTACTGCTTGGCTCATAGTCACTGCATACCTTTTTACCAATAGCAGTCATTAGCTAGGTGAAGTATGAGCCAGATTGGAACAATGAGAGAGAAAGTATGTTCTGGATAAGAAGTTTAAAGAAAACTTTTTTGACCTTTGACCTAAAAACTTGTATCAAGATCACTGAAAAGTACAAGCGAAATTATTTCAATAGCAGAAAAAAAATCAGAGAAGGATTTTAGACAAAGTTGCTCGACCTTGACCTCTGTCCAAGAAATTCAATTCAGTTTTATTGCACATACTTTGACTATGTACACAAGAATTATTATCCAGATTGGGCCAAAGGGAAAAAGGCTCAAGGGAGGGTTGTGGATCATGTTACAAAGAAACCTGCTTTGACATTGTAGAAACAGAAACTTGGAATTGGGTCACTGCATACTCTTAAACAAAAAACACTCTGTTTAGGACGTATGAAGCAGATTTGATAAAGGGGAAAGCAAAGAAAGCCTTGTCAAGGATTCCACACAGATAAATGTCTCAACTTTGACCTTTCACTCACAATCATGGTATAAGGTCACTCCATCACCATTTACCAACGTGTTATCTGTCGGTGAATTATAAGCAACTCTTGATTAAGGGGAAAATATACGAAGGGTAAGTAATATCGAACGGACAGTCGCACAGGCTGATCACTTTATGGCTACTGCAAGACAGGACCCTAATTATTGTAAACATTGGTCTCCAAAGAAGCTCATCAAGTCAAGCATTCTGAGAGTATTGCATAAGCAATACTAGTCCCCTACCGTCAAGTGTAATCTGGTTCCCGTTAAGAATTGAAAGTGCCATAATTCCGTCAAAAATCAATGAAGCAAAACGAAATGCAAACTTGATCTATAACTCATCAAGGTAAAATCACATACCAAAAATTAGCTCAATAACTGCAAGAGTTTAGAAAAATAAATGTGGAAAACCCTGAAAAAATGAAATGGTCGTAATTCCGTCAAAAATCATTGAAGCGAAAAGAAATGCAAACTTGATCTGTAACTCATCAAGATACACTCACATACCAAAAATCAGCTCAATATCTGCAAGCGTTTAGAAAAAAAGTGCGGAAAACCAAGTGGGACAGACTGACAGACAGACAGAGGGACAGACAGACGGATAGATAGACAGACAGACTCAGAGGAAACCTATAGTCCCCTCCGGTTCGCCGGTAGGGGACAAAAAATATCAACCCGCTATTTCCATCTTTTTAATGATATTCATAACCATATTGTCTGCAAGGATTTGCAGTTATTGAAACAATGAAGTCAAAGGTCAGGATCAAAAATCGAGATTCTGTGTAAACATTGAAAAAGGGGGGGGGGGTACATAGTACCAGTTATCATTGATTAAATAGCAAGGTACATTCAGTAACAATATTTTCTCTATCTACAGATAATGAAAAAGTGCCCATCTGAAAACATCCCCTCCGAATTGGAGTACGTCGGAAGTTGGACTTCCGAACGATGCTAATGCTATGCTCATTTATCACAAGAAAATGCTTTCTATAATCTGTTACTGTAAATCTGTTTTGGTGGAACTAATTTTGAGGCAAAGTATTCCTTATAAATGTACGTGTATATACATGTATATGAATATGCAAAAAATGACATCATTCTAAATGTATAATAGACAACAATTTATAGTTTCCAAATATTTGCTATTAGATTTCATTAAATCTGATTCAAGTGAGTATAATGCAAGCTTTTAGAAGGAATGAAAAATTTGTATTCGCTCTTAAAAATGGACATTATTTGAACACAAAAGACTTACCATACACAAAAATGACTGCTCCTTGTTGTATATTGTTTGGATTCGAATAACCTGGGGCCCCTAATATGACGTCATCATAACCATCATGATTGACATCACAAACTACTTGTGACCATCCCAGCCTAGCATAAGAGCTGTTGATGTAATATATTCCATCAAAGAACCGATTATCCTTCAAATTTGTCTTTCCCACTTGTACCATTGTCTTGTTTAATTTCTTCAATCTTTTTTCTTTAATTTTTATCTGCAATAAAAATGCAACAATTACATTTTTATCATAAAGGAAATAACATTGCCTTGATCTATTTGTATCAAAGTTTTTTTAAAATTTGATTAACAAATGTTAATGATACACCATTTTAGGAATTAAGACTAGTTAAAATTAATTACTACATTTACATTTAAAAAAAACTGTAAAGTTAACAAACCAGACAGCGTTTGTTTGGAGTAAAATGTGTGCTGTATGTTTTCCTCTGGACAGTTACATCATTTCTGCAGAACTGTTTCCCTTTTAACCAGTTCTTTTTGTGAACACTAGTGGAGGAAGGAGACCTCCCTATTTTTTGTTGTTTTTCTCCATTGCATTTTATGTCGAGGGGGTTGTCAGGGAAAGTACATACACTGTTTTGAATTCAAATGGAATATTTATGAAATTAAGAAGCTTGTTATGTTTTCAACTACTCTTGATATAGGTGCATAAAACAATTGTTTTTCATTCATTTTGTGATAAATTCTAGTTTTTAAAATAGTAAATTTACAAGTATGGAAATTACCTAGTGCCATTTTCTATCATAGTTATAAGGTTTGTCCATAGTCTTGTTGTTTTCTTAGCTACATCATCTAATCCGCCTAAGAAATAGTCCGGAAGTGCACGTACCAAAAAAGGATTTAGCTTTGCAACCTCACTAAAAGCCTGAAAATTAAGTCAAACTACATTAAAATTAATAATGTTTTGCAAAGTACTACGAAATAACTTCAAATTTTATGTGAAAGTAGTTCGTACCTCGCCTGCACCATACGAAGTTTCAAGACTGTAATAAATGGACAAAAATATCTCTTCATACTTACAGGATTAAGACCATAGAGCAGATTTCATACAAAGTATTGCTAGAATCAAAGTAATCTTAAAAATCAAAATAGTCAAATCTTTTTTTTTCATTTTCTTAAACAAATGGCATGATCATTACCTTTCCAGTAATAGGTAAACAGTGCAATGGATAATTTCTTCCTCTGCTATCATTTCTTTTCCGTAAAAATCTTTATAAATATTGTACAGATGGTGAATCGGCATATCCCCGTTTCGAGGAGGCAAGCAATTTTAGTTTAAATTGTTGAGGAAAGAGGTAGCTAGACTTGTATAATTATAGCACAGTAAAGATTAAGGTTATCAATTTCACTTACCAGTCTTTATATATTTTCATATAAAACAAGTCTAGGTTGTATTCAAGAATGACATCACTGCCTGAAACATTCTGTCAAGTTCATTTCAAGTATCAAATTCAATTTAAGTATAAAGTTCATTTCAAGAATCATGTGACTTATCAAGTCATTTTACGTATTAAGTTTGTTTCAAGTAGCAAATTTATTTCAGTTATCAAGCTCATTTCAAGTATCAGGTCCATTTCAAACTCTAATCATTTGAAAGAGTTACTACCTTTATCATTTATTTTTCTTTTAATATTATTTTCAACCAAATGTGGAATTTGGTTTACTTACTGAACTGAATGATTTCCAGTGCCTTTGTAACGTTGCCATGATGGTTAAGCTGTAATGTTCATACAAATATTCCTAGTTTACAGTAAAACTTAAAATGAATGAATTTGTGAATTTCGTACATATGCCTTTTACCCTTTCTTATACTTTTCCTAATATGTCGTTTTCCCTACAGTTTGGGAACTTAACATATTTGAAATACAAATATCTCCACATCTAAACCAAAAGTCATGAATTCCCCGTGTGATAGTGATTTTATCATATAACATAAACCTCATTTTTAATTGTCTCTATTTATGATATTTGTACGTTCTACAAGTTCCTTAAAAATCATTCGAAAGAAGTTTAAGCCCTAAACTTACGTTTGCCATCGCTTTCACTATGCCGACAGAAGTATTATCCCGATACCATACAGCATTCATTACTTGATACGTTGTAACACCAAACAGAAATGCAACCAGTTCCCCATCATTCTAATAGAAAGTATCAACACACAGTTAATGCCATTCAGTCAAGAAATAATGATCAACAAAGTTCTACTTTAGTCCTTAGTACTGAATGGATAATAACAAACGAGGATAAAGATATATGAAGATAATTATGTAATTTATAACGTTTAGCAAAGAAACAAAAAAAAAAAAAAAAAAAAAAAACAAGATGTGTTTGTGAAACACTATGCCCCGATGGTAACACAATTCTGGAGTGGGACGTAGACTACAGTGCAATAGTTATGGCCAATGTTAAAGTTTTTCAAATGTAGGTCAGTTGAGGTCACCTGATCAAAAATTTCTGTACCAATGGAAAGGTCTTGTCATAATGAACACTCATGTCAAACATTAAAGCCTTACCCTTGACAGCGCAATAGTTATGGGCTAGGTTAAAGTTGACGACAGACAAACAGACAGACAGGTCAAAAACAATATACCCCCGGGATCTTTCGATCCGGGGGCATAAAAAAATCTTCCGTCTTTATTTCATTACTAACTAGTTTTAGTAGTCTAATAATGTTAACGCTACATAGAGGGCGTAAATCCTACAACGGGAAAGCCAAAAAGGATAAAACAAATGAAAGTGGGTAAAAAAAAAATTGATAACTCTTCAATGATTTTTTCAAAAAGCTCCAGGATAGAAAACACCCGACTCGGAAAAATATCATGTCCATTCACAGACCTTAGAAGATCCTATACGTGCAATATTTTAGATAATTATGGTATGCTATTATCCTTGTTCTTACTTTAATACAAATGGCAGCAGGATGTGAAATGTATTAAACTTTGTTTTTGTATAGTATATAATCAGGGAACTTTAAAAGAAATATCTGCTTTCAAAGAAATATCTACAAATAGGTTAAACCCGTATTGTATTACACTGTATGAGTATGTGCTGGACAAATCCTTTCTTATCTGTACCGTATATCAATGATCAAATACAAGTATATTTAATAAGAAACTTACATAATTCCAGGGTTGTTTAAAATTTCGTCTTATGTAATTAACAGTGACATTCAGAAAATGGGTAGATTTGCTATCCGTTGATAAATCAGCAAATTTACCTACAATAAATGATAAAGAACATTCACGTTTATCAATCGAATATATTCTGTAATAATTTAAGAAACGGATCGTAATTAAACTCAAGAAAGATTCAGTAAAGAAATTTTTTCTGTCTAACAAATGATACTGGTTTCATCAATATCTACTTATCCTTTTTACCATTATAACACTTGGAACTTTCAAAGGCATCCGGGAAAACACTCCCAGTAAACATTGCTCCTCTGTGGTCGTCCAGGAACTAAAAAAAATAAGGATAATGGCCTTAAAAATATATAACATTGTATTCAGTATGTAACGACATAAATCTAAAACGTTTTGCATATGTATTCATAATGAAAATTGAGATGTAAATTTTCATAGTGTCTAACAAGTATGTGTGTTGTATGCATTACTTTTCATCCTGATAATAAAAAGAAACTTATAAAATTCTAAGGTAACTAATATTTTCTATTCTATCTTTTGTTGTACAATACAAACTCAAAACTTTGATGAAAATATGCTGAAAAAAATTTTCACATAATTTTCAGGATACAACTTGAAAGGTTTTTTTTTGTTAATGAAGTTTTAACATCCATAAATGGTGTGTCTATTTAAGAAATACTAGTACCAAAACCTGACCTGAACATAATCCGTATTGCTGACAGTTCTTGGGTTTGTGAAGAATTTATGAGCTCTGTGACCTCGATAAAAAATCAGACAATTGTAAGAGCAATCAAGACAATTGTTTAAAATGGATAGTGTATAAAAAAAATTAATTAATGCTTTGTTAAAATAAGTTTTACATTAGATAAGCAATTAAAATAAATTGATAAATTCGTATTTTCTTAACAAGTTTGTCGACCTATACTATATAATACTAAACAAAGGTAAAAATTATTGATACTTCTCTACAAATGGTGAAAATAAGCGAGCTTAGTTAAAGTTTTTACAAACTGGTACTTACTAGCAACTATCTGACTTGTAATTCCTATACTTAGTCCAGGTAACAGGGTGAATATCGCAGAAAAAGCAAAGAAATAAAACAAATTACACATATTGATGCTAACGTTTGTACTGACGTGCTGTACACCAACAGTATTGTATGTTTAATTTGTGGTATCTTGATATGATAAAATCCATCAGTATACATTGACCCTCCCCTTGACTTTGATTAACCACACGACCTGCTCATCAATTCCGAATTAAATCCTAAGTAAGCTATTTATTTTGGACTATATAGAAAAGTCACCACTAAGATCAAGCCGGTGCAATAATCACCATCTGATGTGTAGCGGTTCTCCTGGTGGTTCCTTATAGAAAGCTTCGCTTGTTCTAGTATTGGTAGCTTGTTCGATAATCACGCATTTCGTTTTGTTCTAGAGTTACTATAGGGTGTCTATACCTAAGATTGTGGGATGAAACCATTACAAAATATTGTTATCATAGCGTGAATATCCTTAGCAAAAACAGATTTCTGGTAAAATTCTTTTCGTTCTCTTTTTTAATATAGTCTAGAGTTCTGTTAGGGAGTATTTATATATATGGGTAAAAAATATAGATGTATTAACCCTTAAAGTCACTGTGTGATGAACGTTTCTAAGGTTCCTTTAGTTTACAAAAACGAGATTTACAGAACATAAATACACCAATCAGTAGATTATACACAAATAATTTCAATATTTTAAGACACAGAGGTACAAGATAATTCCACTGACAGACTGAATCAATGAGTGTCAAAATAAATCAATTAGTTAATGGTTTCCAGGCATTTCTCCTTATATTTCACTATTTGCTTTGATAGTTTAATGGTGGTCTTACTTTTCAGATGAAGCTGAGGACATTGACATTACTAAATACTAGAAGACAGTTCTACAGGAGAAAGGAACAAAGATGAAAAACAGAAAAATGTCCCTTCCAGCTTACCTCTCGCTTTGTCATCGCTATAGAACATTTTCAGAAGAAAAGGAAAACATGGATAATTTCACTTTTACTTTAAGCATTTTTTGCATTCTTTAATTTTTTATATAAGAACAGAGAGTTTAATTCAATCACTTTTTAATTTCAAACATTATTTTGCCAGCTTTGTGCTGCACAAATTAAAAAGACCTTTTTTGAAACGCTGGCGATCTGTTTATAAAGGTATCAATCACAGTACATGTATCATCTTATTATACATGTATATATCTAAATATCGGGAACTTTATTCAGCAAACTGTATCAATCACAATATCATCCTTATATATACATGTACAATGTATTTATCTAAATATCGGGACCTTTATTCAAGACAAAATAGTATTAATCACAGTATCGTCTTTATACACATGTATATATCTGAATATCCGGAACTTTATTAAGGATAAAACTGTATTAATCATAGTATCATCTTTATATATATATATGTATATATCTGAATATCGGGAACTTTATTCAGGATAAAACAGTATTAATCACAGTACAATCTTTATATACATGTAAGTATCTAAATATGGGAACTTAATTCAGAATAAAAGTGTATTAATCACGCTATCATCTTTATACATGTATATATCTGAATATCGGGATCTTAATTCAGGATAAGTCGCCCGCGTGGCGCAGTGAGTTAGAGCGTTCGCTCAAGAGTCGCGGAGTAAGGAGCTGATCCTTACGTCGCGGGTTCGAATCCCACTGTGGGACGTGGAGACCGGTCCTTCGGATGAGACCGTATAAACCGAGGTCCCGTGTCACAGTAGGTGCTGGCACGAAAAAGATCCCTCACTGCTCAATGGCCCTAAGTGCCGAGTATAGGTCAAAATTTGCAGCTCTCCACCGGCAATTGGTGGCGTCTCCATATGAGTGAAAAATTCTCGAGAGGGACGTTAAACAATAAACAAACAAACATAATTCAGGATAAAACTATATTAATCACAGTATCATCTTTATTTACATGTATATATATCTTAATATTGGGAACTTTATTCAGGATAAAATGGTATCAATCACAATATCATCTTATATATACATGTATATATATCTTAATATCGGGAACTTTATTCAAGATAAAATAGTATTAATCACAATATCATCTTTATATACATGTATATATTTGAATATCGGGAACTTTATTCAGGATAAAACTGTATTAATCACAGTTACTGTATCATCATGTATATATCTGAATATCGGGAACTTTATTTAGGATAAATCTGTATCAATCACAATATAATCTTTATATACATGTAAATATCTGAATATTGGAAACTTTATGCAAGTTAAATCTGTATTGATCACAGCGTCATCTTTATATACATGTATATATCTGAATATCGGGATCCTTATTCAAGATAAAACTTCGGCGAGTAAACTGTGGCTGTTGGAATCTTTCTTACTTTTCTTGAAACCAAATTTAAACTTCTGCAATTGCCATGGTTTTTATCATCATGGCCGTAGGAACCGGGGGGCACGGGGGGGCCGTGCCCCCCCCCCCCCAATAATTTTGCCGATATATAGATTACTATAGTAAACATAGATACTATAAGCATGTGCCCCCTCAATAAAACCGCCTGATGACCTTTTTTTTTTTGCTTGTCAGAAAATTTTTAGTAGTGCCCCCTCAACTGTCAACTGAAAAATGTTTGGCTGTGCCCCCCCAAACTGAAATTGCTTCCTACGGCCCTGATCATTTTTCATTTTCACAAAAAAAAAAAACATTATTCTTGCATTACTATGATATATTCACATTATTTTCGATAGAATATGAAGTTATCTACCTTTGCCCAATTAACTATAATCTCTTTGGGGAAACTTTATAACCAAACGAAAAAAATCATTTCTTATCACTGAAATTTATGCTGCGCCCAAAGTAGAGCAATATATACAGATTACTAAATAGATGTTTCTCTAGATCTGTTTCTCTCTGTAACAGCCTAATTGTACATTTATATGTTTTGTCCTTTAGGTTCCCCTCAATGCAATGTTTTGCTTGTAGAAACAGTTTTAACAGTGGCCAATTTTTGTTGATGTTCCTATTTTTTTTTGGCATGAGAGTAACACCCCAGCAAACCATAGTTATAAAATTGAAAAAAAATGTTTGGCCTAACAGTTTTCCAAATATAGATATTCTATATACAAATTAATAAATTAACAAGATGTGTTTGTGATACACTGATGCCCCCGTATGGCAGCTTATGGCGAAGGTTAAAGTTTCTCAAATGCAGGTCAAAATCCAGTCCAAAAGATAAAAAATGTTGGTACCCAAATAAAGGTCTTGTCTCGAGGAATATACCTGTGAAATTTGAAAGACCTAGCTGCAACTGTTCAAAAGTTATGGCGAAGGTTAAAGTTTTTTAAAAATAAGTGAAACGTCAAGGTCAAGGTCAAAGTGGTTGGTATCCAAAGGAAGGTGATGTCACAAGGATTACATATGTAAAGTATGAAAGCCCTAGCATCAACCATTCAAAAGTTATGGCCAAGGTTAAAGTTTTTCGAAAGTAGGTCAAACTCCTAGGTCAAGGTCAAAAGTTCAAAGAGGTTTATATCCAGAGAAAGGTCTTGTGACAAGGATTACATATGTGAAGTATGAAAGCCCTAGCACCAACCATTCAAAAATGATGGCCAAGGTTAAAGTTTTTCAAAAGTAGGTCAAACTCCTATGTCAAGGTCAAAGGGTCAAAGTGGTTGGTATTTAAAGGAAGGTGATGTCACAAGGATTACATATGTGAAGTATGAAAGCCCTAGCATCAACTATTCAAAAGTTATGGCCAAGGTAAAGTTTTTCAAAAGTAGGTCAAACTCCTATGTCAAGGTCAAAGGGTCAAAGTGGTTGTTATCCAAAGAAAGGTCTTGTCACAAGGATTACATATGTAAAGTATGAAAGCCCTAGCTCTTGCCGTTCAAAAGTTATGGCCAAGGTTAAAGTTTTTCAAAAGTAGGTCAAACTCCTAGGTCAAGGTCAAAGGGTCAAAGTGGTTGGAATCCAGAGGAAGGTCTTGTCACAAGGAATACACAAGTGAAGTTTGAAACCCCAAGCACCAACTGTTCAAAAGTTATGGCCAAGGTAAAAGTTTTTCAAAAGTAGGTCAAACTCCAAGGTCAAGGTCAAAAGGACAAAGTTGTTGGTATCCAAAGGAAGGCCTTGTCACAAAGAATACACATGTGAAGTTTGAAACCCCAAGCACCAACTGTTCAGAAGTTATGACCAATGATAATGTCTCATAAAATTTTGCAGAAGTGGGTCAAACTCCAAAGTCAAGGTCAAAAGGTCAAATATGATGGTAACCAAAGAAAGGTCTTGTCACAAGAAATACACATGTGAAATATGAAAGTCATAGCTCCAACCAATCAAAAATTATGGGCAAGGTTAAAGTTGACAACAGACAGACAGACAAACAGACAAACAGACAGACAGGACAAAAACAATATACCCCCGGGATCTTTCGATCCGGGGGCATAAAAATGGGTAGCAACCGGGGGCCTGTGTCACGGCAGGCGTTGGCACGATAAAGATCCCACACTGCTCAATGGCCCTGAGTGCCGAGTAAAGGTCAAAATTTGAAGCCCTTCACATGTACAATGTATATGATGACGTCTCTATATGAATGAAAAATTCTCGAATGGGACATAAAATAACATACAATCAATCAATCGAAATACATGTACACATATATAGCCAAGTAAAGATTTCATTAAAGAGGTTTGCTCCTGAGCTTTTGTGCAAATTTTTGTCTTGACCTATATTTCAAAAATTCTGCGTAATGTTATAGTTTTTACAACAAATTTAAATTCTACAATGCCAATTAAACTATATTCAGTTAAAATCACATTATTAAATTCAATATCAAAAGCATTAAGGACATTGGCAAGGTTCCAGGTTATTGTATAGAATTTTTCATGAACTTTTGAGTCGGTTTAAATGTACTAAACAGGCTATATTCTGGATCGTTTTACATACCAATCCAACCTTCTTTTTTAGATTTTGTCAAGTTAGTGTTTTCACAATTCTTAATGCATTTCCTATGTAAAATGTTGATAAAAGGGACCTACATAATTTTTCACCATAATATTTCTTCAAAACCCATTTATTTCATACAGTTTTTGTATTATATACATTATTGTATCTTCATTTCCTATGACCAATAGATATTTGGGCTGAAAATGTATATATAGAAACAAGACATGAATATACCGGCACCGATCATCAATTTTGAGTTGCGTCCCTTAACAGCTAAAATTGGTCAAGAGACTGGTTGATTGTTTTTATCATGTAATTGACTGAATTGATTGAAACACATTGTCATAACAAGATGTGTTTGTGATACACTGATGCCCCCGTATGGCAGCTTATGGTGAAGGTTAAAGTTTCTCAAATGCAAGTCAAAATCCAGGCCAAAAGATAAAAAATGTTCAATTTGAGAGCCCTAGCTGCAACTGTTCAAAAGTTATGGCGAAGGTTAAAGTTTTTTAAAAGTAAGTAAAACATCAAGGTCAAAGGGTCAAAGTGGTTGGTATCCAAAGGAAGGTCTTGTCACAAGGATTACATATGTAAAGTATGAAAGCCCTAGCACCAACCATTCAAAAGTTATGGCCAAGGTTAAAGTTTTTCGAAAGTAGGTCAAACTCCTATGTCAAGGTCAAAGGGTCAAAGTGGTTGGTATCCAAAGGAAGGTCTTGTCACAAGGATTACATACGTAAAGTATGAAAGCCCTAGCACCAACCATTCAAAAGTTATGGCCAAGGTTAAAGTTTTTCGAAGGTAGGTCAAACTCCTATGTCAAGGTCAAAGTGGATTGTATCCAAAGGAAGGTCTTGTCACAAGGATTACATATGTGAAGTATGAAAGCCCTAGCTCCAACAATTCAAAAATGATGGCCAAGGTTAAAGTTTTTCAAAAGTAGGTCAAACTCCTATGTCAAGGTCAAAGGGTCAAAGTGGTTGGTATTCAAAGAAGGTGATGTCACAAG